AAAATTATTATATAACTACCTCTTAAATTTTTCAGAAATATAATGTAATACAATACATGATCACCTGTAAATTTATAGTGTTAATAATACAAAAAAAAATTTAGATGATCATCAAACTTTCACTTGAAAAATAGAACTTTCTTTAGAGAAATAATATGAAATTATCTTTTACGTGAGCATTCAGCTGATCTAAAGTTTAGTTTTAGATTTATTGCTAAATAGGTATGTTGTAGTAAGTCTATAGCTATTTATTAGGTTAAAAGATATCATGAAAATCGGAACCTAAGTACTTCAGAAAGATTGGGATGGCCTTGTGTAATATTCGTAAAACAAGATAACAAGATTGTAAAGATGGCAGAGAAAGAATATAATATAACAGCCATTCAAATACGAGAAAAAATACAAGAAAGAGGTGTTAGGCTTAATGTAGAAATAGTAAGGTGATGTCTTCATAAATCTAGAGAAAAGTTTAGTAATAAAATTTTTAAACCTTTATTTAAAGAAGACCATCGAAAGAAAAGGTTGCAATAGGCAAAAAAACATAAGAATTTTGATTGGAATTGAGTTGTTTTTACAAATGAGAGTATATTTTAATTATATACATCAAAAAAAAGTTTAACAGTTTTTTGGTAAAAAAAAAGTGTTTCGTTCTGTTAAGCATCCACTAAAAGTTCATGTTTAAGGATGTTTTTCTGCTTCTGGATTTGGTAAGCTATTTTGCTTTCAAAGGAATCTTAATGCTGAATTTATGTATACTATTTATGAGTAGGGTCTTTTGGCTTCTACCTTTAAATTTTTTGGTGAAAGTAACATAGATTAGATCTTGCAAGAAGATAATGATCCAAAGCATTAATTGAAAATCGTGAAAAAATAGAAGGAAGAAAATGGCATTGAGATACTTTTTTGGTCATCAATGTCTCTAGACCAAACCCTATAGAAAACATTTAGAGGTTAATGAAAATTAATATACAAAAAAAAAATTCGATCAATTAAAGGATTAAAGGAAGACTTACAAAAGAATGGAACTGATTATTGCCTGTACTTGCTACAAATTTAGTAGCTAGTATGAAAAGGCATACAGCTGCACTTATAGAGTCAGATAATAACTATATAATATATAATTTTAGTTAGTTAGTTATGTATTTTTTAAATAAAAAAAATTTTGAATTTACTTACTTGTAGCTGAGTTAGAGGTGGTCAGATACTTATGACCGCTACTGTATAATATAAATTTAACTTTATTTTTATTTTTAGCATAAAAAATATTGGCAATGAGTCAAATTCGTGGTGATATAATGTATAATTGACAATTATGTGAAATAAATCAGCAAATAAAACATCTCTATATTACTATTCCAATTATATTAAATGATAACAAAACTAAAACTGAAGAACTTGATATTCAAAATATAATTGATGATGATTGGAGAATAAGTAATTCAGAAGAAATCAACATTCAAGATGAAGATGATTTTAATGAAGAAAAAAATAATAATGAAATAGTAGAACCTATTGAAGAACATGAATTACAATGAAACAATTTAATATATGAATGGATTAATGCAATTCAAAAAGAAAATCAAGTTGATAATAGTGATGATGAAATTTTTTTTAATAGAGAGTGG